TCTAGGAATTTATGACCTTTGCTCCCGGTTTTCCCCATGGGTGCTTTGGCTCGCCCACCCCCTGATGATGCTTTCCCCTTACTAGTCTTCTGTATTCAATTTATGCACCCAACTGCTGGCATTCTTTTGCGCACAGATCTATTCATCTATCTTCTGAAGATATTGCTCCAGGAAGCCCTTAAACAAGTGCTGATGGAGTCTCAGTGCTCCTGCATGGCTTGCCAGTATTTAGTATCCTGCTATTCTGCATCACAGCTCCTGCCCCTCAGCTTTCTGTCACCTCGGCCTTAGAATACCACAAATGTGACAAACACTTGGGTTTTCCAGTGATCACTGATGCTTCATTACAAATCAATAAGCAAAACCCAGCTGTTCAAATGTGTTATTTGTACTGTGGTAACACCTAGGAGCCCCAAATAGAGACTAAAGTCGTGTGCTGTAAAAGAGATTTAAAAGGAGATACCTATCCCAAAGAGCTCATAAGCATTCTAATGTGTGTCAGCATGTGGGATCTCAAAGCTTTACAAGGGTGAGTCAAGGATCAAGGGTCAGGATTGATAGAATATTTTTGTACTATGTCTGGTAGAAAGAGACAGTCCAAGACAGTGATGTGTGCGAATGCATGTAATGAGGGTGAAGAGTAGGGTGCCTCTTGTTTTAGAGATGGGGACACCAACGTACAGCAGTTTCCACAGTACGTCAGTGACCGAGTCTGGAGAACAGCAGAGCTCTTCTCACAACCAGTTCATGTCCATGAATATCAGACAATGCTGCTCTACCTCACTTAGCGGATTTGACAGTCATCCAATGAACCTCTTGCCAAATTGCTGCCTTTTGGGTGCAGTTGATCAAACCAAAAAATTGCAAATAAAGTTCTGCTGGGGAGAAGATGGAAGCCCCAAATACAATTTTATTTGGGGTTTCCATCTTCTCCCTAGCCGAACTTTTATGCTTTATTGCAGGCTGGTTTAAACTGGCGTTAACTGCCTTCGAAACTCTCTATAGTTGTGGTATCAGACCCTGCCTTTCCAGTAGCGTAGACTCTTACGTTTACGGCTTTGTTACAAGGTGGTTTTGTTTTCACTAGGGTAATTAACTGACTATTTTCCTTCTGTATCCTCAGCAACTATGATTTACAGTTATTTTCATTGAACCATAAACTGTACTCAGGAGGATTTTATAGGCAAAATTATAGTTTGCTCTCCAATGAAGAAAAGAAAAACAAGCTGATTTTCGCAGGCAGTTGATGTAGCCTGTTGTATTTTCTCAAGAGGGAGTATATACAGACCCATATCACTGATAACATTATTTTACACACTGGGAATGCTGCTGCTGAAAATCTGTCCCCATAAAAGACCAAGAGCATCTGCATCAGTACAGACAGAAGTAAATCATCTCTTCCTAACCAATCTCTACCTAAAACATAGGCAGAAACTGCCAAAATCCTACCTTGCTGGGAATGTCCCAAGATTTACTTTCTTTAAGATGTATTTTCTAGCTCTTGGGACATGGGGAGGTTGGAAGCAAAGCTTCTAGTGTATACAATGCGTTTCTGCAGTCAATATTTTAGCACTTCTGGTGCTGAACAGCTGCAATACCCACTGGATTGGTTTATGGTTCCTCTTATAACCAAGCCCCAGGAGCTGAGCCCCAGTCCAAACAAGAAGCTATTATTGTATCACCCTACTCTTCACCCTCATTACGTGCATTCACGCACATTGCCGTCTTGGACTGAGTCCCTTTCTACCAAATATGGTACAAAAAAATTCTATCAATACTGACCCTTGCTCTCTGTTACAGTTAAAAACACGTCCTGCTCTGCCATCCACAACCTTTGATATTAGTGTGACCTTTTGTTTTTTACAATAAAGTCATTAATGAGAAATAACTGCCAGCAGCAAATCAGAGAACACATGGCAACATCTGAAACATGCTGCGTCAGACATACTGATTAATGTGTTTATTAGCACTCAGTTAGATTAAACTAATCACCTGTTTGTTGAGTTTACAGATAGAAGTACAATGGGGATATCCTGCAAGTCTTTGAAGAACATACTTCCCACTTCCCATACTGCTGAGCCTTCATATGCTCATGGGCATGATAACAAAGTACAGTGCAGTCTATTCCCAGTATTTCATGGCCCACAGCTGCTAATGTTTTGGTGGCTTCACATGGGAAGATTGTTGTTATCGGGAAAAAAAATTAAATAAGAATGAATTACATTTTCAACGGTATATGGGTGCCTCTCTGTGTCTTGAAATGCCTAAATACCCCTGAAAGTTTGGCCATACATTTTTTGCTAAGGCAAGTTAGGTTTATTCCATGAAAGTCACCAGCTGAGGATCTGAATTTATAGTAATATAAATACTGACAGGCATGGGGATAGGGATTAGGAGAAGACTGAACAATCATCATTGATATGTATTTTACAGCTTGATTCCCTCACCTTTCCTTGTGCTGTTTATACCTTACTAGTGAGAAAAGTCCATCAGAAATAATCAAAGCTATTAGTAGAAGTGCTACAAAGGAGAGCAGAATCTAACTCATGGTCTTCATGAACACTGTGCTTTATCAGCATAGGGCCAAATTATGTTTTGTGTAAATCCGGTTCAAGCTCCAACTACTGCAAAGTATCTGGACCACAGTTAATCCTTGTAAAATCATCGTCTCATTGTTTACATCCTACAGATGGGGAAACCAAAGTAGAGAAGTAAACGGACTAATCTTGTGAAGTACTGAAGAGCCTTCACCATCATGCAGGTTGAGGTTTCTATGACGAGACCTTCAGGGCACCTATATACGTGCCGCATGTCGAATGAGCTTTAGTTAAAGTGCCCTCGCCACCATTTTGAAGCATGGGACGCTGAATACATGTGATGCTGCGGGTGCTTTAATTAGTGGCTCTTGGAGTACAGAGTATTCACTGTCCCTGTTGAAGTCAGCAAGACCTATAAGGGCTTGGCACATCTGATAGTCAAGTCATAAATGCCTAACAAAGGGAGGGAAATAGGGAGGGAACAAGAGTGGGAAATAGTACGAAAGTCTGGATTAGAACGAAGATGATGAATACTAAAGTTCCTATTGGTGGTTTTGAATGCACAGCTCTATTTCAAAGCTCTGTTACAAATGCTCTTACTCTGATTCTTCTTCTTTTTGTGCTTTTAGGCTTTCAAGTAAGGACTCCTCCAAGACTTCCAGCTCCTCCAGGGGGATCCTCAGCAGCCAACTGATGTGACTGATCAACACTCGTGTTCGAGCGTCATAGTAACCTTAAACAGATGGAAATATAAGGAATCGTTATATTCATCATACCAGATCAAATGGGGAATGCTGCCTTCTGTTCTGCCTGGTGACTGAGGTACATACTGAGAGAGCATAGTTTGTTCCTTCAGGTCATGATCAGGTATCTATGGATTTGGGCAATCAGCTAATAAATGGAGAAGTACAGTCTTATAATTATAATACTTAATTGAAGGCAATGGATCTGGATTGACTTATACTTGCTGAGGATCAGGCCCTGTGTGTACTCAAATGATCTCATAATGAAGTAATCCTTTTGCACAGACACCCTCAGCAGTGACACTCCATAACAAGTGCCTACCTAGCCAAGAAAAGATCTCCACGTCTCCTACTGCAGGAGTGCTGACAGGTCCCTACAACGGGGAAGGGGCACTGATAACTGTGGGAGAAGAGGGTCTTCACTCAATAGGGAGCTGCAGCAGCAAGCCCAGTGCTCAAAGCAAAGTAGAACAGATTCACACAGAAAATACGGCAGCTCCAGTCAACTCAGTGACAATGTAATACGTATTACCCTGTCTAAACACATCTCCAAACATATACATAAATTTAATTCCTCTCACTGGTTACGACAAGGACACCTGAGATTAAAAATACTAATAAAAAGTTACGGGGTAGGTTCAGTCTACCTACGCTGCTGAGAGCTGTTTGTATTTATTCTTCACTGTTTGCACTGATGGACAATATGCTCTGACAACATGCAATAAGAAAAATAATTACTCTGGGATTAGAAAGCAGAAATGCAAAAGGAAAGAGACATTTGAAACGTATGAGATTGCAAACACTTTCTGACAGGTCTGCTTCTTTTCCAGTACATCTTTCTCCAGCATCTGCTTCGTGTTGATGGAAGTCTCCTGTACAGTATTCAGCATGCTCTCCAGAGTGAAAGATGGAGTTGCATTTTAAGGGCTGGCATAGTATGCCAGCCTGAAATGTCTGGAAACTATGCTCCAGAGGGCTGATCAAGATAGATTGGTTGCCAGCTGCCTGTGAAGTGCTATCCAGATTAGGTACTTCTGTTCCTCGTTACCTTAGTATCCAAGTGTTTCATGATCTTTAGAGTGTTTACCCTAACAACAACCATCCGAGAAAGGGTATATTACACCGATTTCATAGCTGAAGAAGTGAAGCATAAAGAAACCCACGTTCACACAGCAAGTTGGTTGGCAGGGCAATGAAAATGAACACAGGGCTTTCATTTTCTACTCTAGAGCTAACCACTAGATCATCCGCCCCCTCAGTCCACCTACAGATCCACCTACATCTTGGTTTCTTCTCTCCCAATATGGATATAAATGAATATGAGAGACAATGGCATAAGGATGTTCTTTTTTATTCCTGGGTGATGTGGTAAATTCCACTGTCAGAGCTGCTGATTTTTGAGCTTTCCATGAATATAAAACGACAGAGCCAAAGAAGGAGACCACTCTATTCTGGTGTGAAATAGGCTTAATGCTAGCCAGCTAACTGCTGTCCTGTGCAAACGTGTTGAAGACCAACCTTTGCAAAGTACAACCAACAATTTGATAATGGTTGCCTTCTGTAATAAAGATCTCATGAGTCGTTTCACTAATAATCTTAGACTATTTTGATTTACACCCTGGGATTTTTAAGCAAAATGTTCACTTTAAACAAAAATAAAATCTATATCTTATTAAGTACTGGTTTTACAGGAGACTTGAGAACTCATTTGCTGCATGTAACTCCAATTTAGCCAGGACTTAGAACAATTTGCAGAATTTGAGTATGTTATGATGAGATTTTCAAAAGACTTAAAGGACTTTCAGTAGGGACTGGGTACCTAATTCCCATAAGCCTCGTTGAAAAAAACCTCCAATTTAATTATTTAGTTACAGAACACTTTCACTGTCTGATGCATTGTATGTCAAGCAATGGCAAACAGATGGTCAGAGGTGAAGGAGAACTCATGAGATTAACAAGGCAGGACATTCACTAAGATGTTAACGGGAGGTTATTATTACTCATTTATATTACAGAACAGAAGTTGGTTCTCTGGAACTATAAGTAAGAAAACAGCGTGATGCTGATGTTAAAAGATAAATGGTTAATTTAATATACACAGCCTTTACAATCTGAGATATTTTTAAAGTCTGTTATGTGAAGTAGGCTACATAAAACTCATTTAAAAAGAAGAAAAATGATAAGAAACTTACCATCCTTTAGAGAGAAGGACAAAAGATCCTGAAAGTAAAAATGAAAGAAAAAAGGTTTACACGATGACATTTTACTTAAGTATCTTAAATAGAATTGTGAAGCAGAAAGTCTATAGATGCACAATTCACTAATCACTGTATGGCAGGTATGCACAGTGGACATCATTATGGATCATTCCAGTACAGTATAGATCAGAGCCAGAAACTTCAAACACCAAATTATCCTTACCCAGCTATACCAACGTGGGCAGAAACGGTCAAGTGGGACGTGGTAGAACAGTTTACTGCTGCAGCATGTACTTGTATCACACATGATCGTACAGCCAGCAGGCTGCATCAATCAATTATACAGGACTTCCAAGTTTAGAGATGTGAGTCCTGTCCCTATTTCTACCACAGACATGCTATGCAACGCTGGTGGACTTATTCACGTCCAGATTTTGAAGCGATCTCCATGGCTTTGCTGCACAGCTTGAGGCACCTTGCCCTCTGTTTTCAAATGTCCTAAGCAGACAGGAATGTTAGCTGAAAGCAAAAGAAAATGGCCCTGGGGTGTTTCAGACTAACACACGAAAGAAAAAATATGGGAACCTGTCTCTAAAGATTTCTGGACTTAAATTTCTCTGTACCTCACTTTCTCCATCTGAAAAATGGGGATGATAATATTGACCCATATAATGCATGACTTGTGAGGATTAATTCTATTATAAAGAGCTCATCCATTATTCAGAGAGAGAGTACTAACAAAGGACAAAATACTGGTATTCCCATGTTCTTCTCTTGTACAATCACTTAACAAGTAAGCACTGTATGCAATCACCGCATAGAGCACTGATTCCATCTTTATGTATTTTTCCCACATCCAAGAAAAGAATTATAAAAGAAATGCCAGACACCTGCATATTATGGGGAAATCCTGATCTTTTTTGAAAATGAAGAGAACAGCCAAAGAACCAGGATGCTGCCAGGGAGCTTATTAGTCCCCTAATCCCTAAACATAATTATTATCCTAGAAACTCATCCAGTGTTTTTTTCTGTGACGGACTCTGGGGAATCTGGAGTGAGGAATGAGCTGCTTTTAGCCAACTGGTAATGCAGGAGGAGAAAAATATAGATGCTTTCCGTAATTCCCTGGACTCTGCACTATCGTTTGAAGACTGGCAGGCGTTGTTCTGTTATACAGATGTGTGAATTAGTTACACAGAGCTGTGTCCAAGAAGGGACCCCAGTGCTTTACATCAGGAACCTCTACAGCATTCAGATCCTTAAAACCTCCACCCTGCTGTTGCATAACATAGGAGGCAGCTACAGTTCACTGGCACCTATGTTTTAACATGTAAAGTTCTTTAGGCATCTTAAAATCTGCTTCTGGGCATGCCTATAACCACCTAAATCCTGACAGCACTGAGTGGCTAGATACCCAGCTCTTGTTTAAATTGTCTTGATTGAGAAACTAGTCATTTCTCCACCTCACCCATGGGCCATAGCTAATAGGCATTTACAGAGCAGGCTGACTGACTGGACTCAGGACTTTTTTGTGGATCTAACCCAGTAGGGGCCATTCTTTTGGGCAGGCATGCCATAAATTAAGCCCTGTTTCCCCAAGTCCCACTCCAAACCGCTTCCTCTACCCTGCTCTGCTTTCTGCTCCCCTTCCTGATCTGCTAGTCCCACACACGATTTCTGTCTATGTCACTTGTGGCGCACGTGCTGTAGGTTGGGCCACCCATGATCTAGCCCATAATCTCTACACAGGAAGAAACAGATCTGGAGAAAAAGGTTTTTTCCAGGAAGAACAGGCCAGCACCTTTAGATCTACTTCTATGTCTGTACAGGTAATTTAAGTGAATGACCATCATTGTTATCCATCACCATTGCTAAGCAGAAGTAACTGACCCAGAAAAGAGAAGCACCTGGGCAGCACCTGTGGCTAGCCATTGCTTGGGACATAATCTCTAACATGTTTGCCTTGGATAGGAAGATCATTAAGTTGGCAAAAGTGCTTTTAATGGGACAGGTGGGGGGCTCAGCTTTGTTTGAGTCAATCCATTTCTATATATTGACTTGGAGCCTTACTTCAGGCACTCCTTATTCTTTAGATGAGTTAAGTGTATTTCAATAGCAAGAGAAGTAGGTGAAAAATCTTCTGAATGACAGAGTGACAAACTACAGCTAATGTCTGTTTATACCAGATATTATAAGGGTGCACAAATGTGTCTAACTGTAATCTAGGCTTTGAACTACACTGTTGTGTGTTGTCGCCTAGAACAAAACCAATTTTGATTAGTTGAGATCACAAATAACAGTCTGTTCTCTCCCCCTCCCTCTTGTCTCAGCAGCAGTTTGGTTAAGGTGACCTACAAAAGACAAATTGTTTTTGTGCCGTTCTTTGCTTCTTTATGATGTATGAAGTGGGCACAAAACATAGTTAAAAAAAGAATGCTTCTTTTTTACAACTATTTGTTTTTCACTTTAGAAAGTCAGGTCCTCTTTTTTCTGAAAACTTTATGGACAAAATACTAGATCTTTAGTTATGATATCATCACACATACAAAACTGTAAAACCTGACTGTGAAGGAGAAATTATTTTTTTTCCAGGCTCTTTGTATTCTGCTTATTTTCTGTTGAGATGTATAACCCACAACTCCAAAAGCAGCTGGGAGAGAAGCTGTTTTGATATAAAATTTATCAATCCGCTTTCAACGTCCTCCAAGGAAGCCTCTTGCAAAACAGGGAAAAACAGACTTTCTAGATACTTCTAAACCAAAAAAGCTCCAAAAAGTAATTACCTTTCAGCCTTTCTTTATACACTAATAAGACAAAATGGAGGGCATAAGCCCAATTTTTCCCTTTTCCAGGGTTCCTTTAACAATTTGCTCCCTGAAACATTTACTAACAAGTAAAAACCTTAAGCCTACAAAATCCTCTCCAAGTGAAAGGTTATTGGTTTTCACTGAACATCTATTTAAACTGAGCTTTGATACAGATGGAAAGCAATGCCTTTTCATACCATCTCTGTTGCCTTTTTGCTGTACTTAACTGCAAGTAAAGGATTCAGTTTACCAAAATGCATTGGCATTAGTTGTCTGAAAATGTAAAACACCCATAATCCTTGTGTCTACGATCAATCAACACATTCTCAAGACACACCAAGAAGATGGGGAGAATGATAAACCAACTGGTAAAAATCAGCCTCTTTCCTTTTAGATTCATGGACTGGAGGGAAGATATGAGAGGACTGGGAATCTCAACTCAGAAATATATGATAATTAGACTGAGCAGAGGAACCCAGTGTTCAGAAGCAGTAACAGAGTTTTATAACTACTGCTCAATATGGAAGTTTCCCTTCCCTTCTGCCTAGCAGAGATTTCTTGCCACTTTTTTTGGGTTGGATTTACAGCAACAGTGTTTGATAACCAGTGGTCATGTTAGCTACTCTACCATTGAGGACTTTCAGGGGCTAGGTACAAACATTCAAAAAGTCCAAGGTAGAATCAATCTAAGTTGCATGGTTTTCTGTAAGCAGCGTAGTTTAGATCGGTAGTGAACAAAACACATGTTTGCCCTTTGATGGGGGGCGGGGAAGGGGGGGAAATCTTAGACTCCGTGGTTTCTCCCATTTTTAAACGAGTCCAATTGTGCTAAACTTCTGTTCTGTTCTGGGTACAGACCGGTTTTGTGTGCCGAACTTCTGTTCTGTTCCAGGTATAAACTGGTAAAAATGTAATGTCTTTACCTGGCCTCAATCAAGGAATGCTACCTGATATGATGCAAAAACAGATGAAGAGATTTCTCTTTGATTGCCAAGGCTTGGCAACACAGGTGACTCTTACCCCAAACCCTGCTGGTTCTTTTACCTTTACTTCTGGCCTACGACACAGAACATTCTAGACTAGGTTAGTCTCACTATTACTTTGTTCCAACTTTTATAACAAATGAAATTAAATTCAGGAACACTCATGCTCGCAGACTATTTGCTTCTGGCCAAGACCAGCTTATGGAGAGGATCATAACTGGATTCCTTTGCTTTAAAAGACAGTTCTGCTTACTATTTTAATACATTCACTGGGCCTGATTTCCATTTATATTAAAATCCTTTACGCTGCCAGTGGTGTAAGAGGGTCTTAGTAAAAATGAGACTCACCCGTAACATGTTGCTGTTTCTTGGAATCTATTGTAATATGGATGAGGGATAATAGCACAACAGTGGTGCAGTACGAGTGAAAAAAGGTAACTAGTTCTTGCTGCTCATGGGTTGTACAGGCAGTATTCTGCAGCACACAAGATAAAGGGGTCTGTGCACTACCTGTTCAATGGAGTCTACCTAGGTAGGTATCTATCACTCACGTATGTTGGGGAAAGATGGAAGGATGGATCAGTATTTCTATACAGAATGTAACCTGATATTTTCACTGCATATTGTAAATCCCACTTCTATTCCCCATTCCACAGAAACAGAACTTAACCAACACACTGTCATGTCTGACAAGTCCTTTAGAGAGAAACCAACTAGAAGAGAGGAAGAGATGAACTTACTTGGGTAATGATGACTGGTTTGTTTTTCAGAACAGGATCCTTCAGTAAAATCTCAGCAAATGTTTCTGTCCCCTCACCTCCCAAACCACTGGCAAAGGCTGTCATGGCAGGCAGGACGGTTTCTGACAACTCAAGCCATTTCACCAAGCCCTCCACAAGCTTCTTTCTAAAGGAGCTGCAGGAGAACACAAGCAAAATGATGCACACACTTGTAATCTCCTTTTCCTTAAGTCACCTTCACTTAAGAAGGCAGGAGCTAAAATGCTAATTAAAATGTATTCAAGGAATGCTCTCAGCTTGGGCTTCCTGCTGCAGTTACTATAAGAATGCAGAAAGAAATCTTTCTGGCAGTGTAAAAAATGTCTCAGGTATCTTAAGTGATATAGATTCAAATCGCTGTTTACAAGTCAGCACTCTTGCTCTTTCATTGCCTGACCATGTTGCTTATGATGCTACTTAAGATGCACTTTCTGTGCCTCTGTTTCCCCAGTCAAACTAGGGAATCAATGCTTGGCTGCTTCACAAGGAAACGATGAGGTTTAAGGTTTAGTTTAAGGTACGTAAAACACTAAATCTCTTCATTGTTTTTCCTTCTTGGCCTTTAAACAGGCTTCCCTTTGATGATCAACTGTTATTCACACAAGAGTGAAATGACAAAAACTCAGCAAAATGTGGGATTTCTTCCAGCCTCACATGTAGGCAACAAAACAGTTTGGGAGGGCCGGCATGCAGTCTGACATCTGGAGTGCTAAGGGACTTGATTTCAACTAAAGCAGAAGGAAATTTTAGATGTAAAATAAAGTCAATGCAGTTAAGAAACCCCCCCGCAAATAAAATACCAAACATCAGTCTCTTAGACTGTGCATCTCTCTGGTGCTCCAAAGGGCTACAGAAGCACAAGACTGATAAGAATAATACCACTGCATTTCAAAACAGATTCTGACTGTGAAAAATCATACAGGAAATCACACAGGCTTAAAAAAGCTGAAAATATAGGTCAACAGCTTTATTTTCTTTCCTGATAGAACTGGCTGTTGTCTAGGCATTTAATTTAGAGAAATGCGTCAGTCCTGCAGGCTCTACATTAATGTTTTAGGATGCATTTTCCCCTCGTGTCTACACTTTTCATTAATACTAATGGGAGTTAGTTGGCATATTCAGAGGGTAAATATCTACTCTCTTCTTTCTTTATCAGCAGAATGCAATCTCCACTCTTCTGATCCAGAATCTAAGGGAGCCACTGGAAGAAGCCTGACAGTTAAGAGACAAAAGGAAGATCTGTTTCCATGTTTATTTGGAGTTATATGAGTTATATTTGAGGCAGTAAAAAGGAAGAGTAAAATTTTACAAAGTGTCCAGGTGACTGAAAGGCTTAGGTCCCTTTTCAAAGGGGATTTGTGTACTTAGGCGTTTAAGTGTAATTAAGTACAGCAAGGATTACTATACCGCTAAAGTTTTAGAGCTACAAGCATACAGGAATCACTCCCTAGGTGGATTCCAGTATAAAAGTGTCCAGGATTGTAGTTATTTTGTTATAAGCAGAGTGGTAACATTGTGAACAGCTGAGCTTTAAATTTCCTCATATAGACAAGCTTGGAGTTGCTTCTGAAAAAAAGAGAGGGATCTAAGTCACTTAGGCACTTTTAAAAATTGTACCTACTGTCTTCTCCAAATAAAATATATTTTCTCCGTTTCCAAAATGCCCACAGGCATTTTGCAGCACCAAGGTAAAGTGCAGGCCACCATCATCTTAGGCAGTGCAAATTCTTCTAAGATTTCACTGAGGAAAGCTCACAAAGTTTTTCGAAGGGATCAGAGGGGCTGAAGGTTGGGACCTTTCCATATTCAGGGATATACTTGAAAAAGAACCTGGTCCTGTTAAGGCTCTCAGCTCCCATTAAGTTGAGTATGTGAAAGGATGAGACCCCAAACCTATAATTATGTCATAATCTATGGACTATGTCATAAACTAAGGGCTTTCTACTTGGCTGTTAGGAACAGAGCTCCTGGCAGCCAGTAGTACCTACTTAGCACTCTTTTCTATCTAACCTAATCTACCCTGTGCACAGCTTTCATCTGACAACAGAATCTCTCTGAGCTACTGCCTCCATCACCTTTCTTTCTTTCTGTTACAAAATATATTTACCTTTGCTCTTTTTCAGGAAACAAGTAAGCCAGGGATACCCCGCAGAGGGCTGCATATGCAAACCTTCCTGGTTCCCCCAACTGTTTGCCCACAAGATCACATGGCTCTTTGTCAGCTCCCTGTTCAGCTGCAGCGTTTTCTTTCCAAGCCCATCTGCTCCGCTTCTGTTCTGCAGCCATTCTTACCTGTGATTTCAAATAAAGAAAAACCATTGGAAATGGGTGAGAAAAGTGACATGTGGATTTTCTTTCTTGGTGATCACACTTCCTGGCTGTAGACTTGATTGAGTGTGTCGAGGTCAGCCTTGTGTGCTTGAGATTGTGATCAAAACATATACTTAAGAGGAGGTATCAGGCCTCACCTTGTCTTCACTGTCAACAGTTCTCAAGTGTTCCCATAATACGATAATTATTGACACTTTACACAGCAAATGAGAAATGCACTTCAAGCTGCAAAGATTTGGGGCTCATTTTAAGCTAAAGCAGCATATGCTTCACACATACTTACCATGAAATTAAGATGCTGCACAGAAGCCCTGCCACCTGTCACAGTGCCTAGGTTATTGCATTCTGGGAAATAACAGTCCCCTTCAACTTCAAAATCAAATCACCCCTTTGCTTGTGCTGCCAACAGCATTTTACGACAAGTTCAGCTCAGAAGCAGCCTCTGATTAAAAGTATTTCTTATACCCTGCTTCCTCTGCTCTGCTCACAGCTCCCATCATGGCTTCCATTGCATTCCCTGTCCACTCCCCATAGCACTTTCTTTCATACCACTGGGCGCATTTACACAAGACGCTAACACCGCAGTAGAGTAATTCTACTGCGCATTAGTAAAACTGGCAAAAACCGTGCTAATGCGCACTAGAATTCATCTGCAGTTATGCACGTTACAGCGCATTAAGTACTAAACAATGCACCATAATTACGGCAGGCAAGGTTCTTTGGGTAGATGCGATATCTTTTATTAGACCAACTGAGTAGTTGCCTCATGTCCTTAGATCCACCCATTGCCTGTGAAAGATTTTTTTTTTTACAGAACTCCAAGAGTGTTAAGGACCTCCCTTTGCCTCCAATTCCTTTCCTCAGATTGTGCTGCTCCACCAGTTTTGGCCATTTATCTTCTCAGTGACAAGCCATATTCCAGCAGTCATGTGTCTTTCATATTTCCCGGGCACTCTCTCCATCTGCTATGGGGCTCCAAATTCCAGCTGGAGGCAAAAAAATCTATTTTACACCACCAATTTACAGATTCATCTCCCTGAGGCAACATCCTGACCCCAAACTATTGGCCAGTTTGCTCCCTTGAAACAGCCTCATATTTAAAATGCCAGGGTAATTAGCCTGTCACCGGCTTTGGCAACTGGCATACTTACTTCCAGAGAAGCTTGTTATTATAGTAGATATTTTTAAATCTATTTTGTGTTCCAGATCAAATCAGCCAAATCAGTTCCAGATCATATTGAATGGGCAGAACTCAGTCATTCCAAAAACCATACTGACTGAGCAGGCAGAACTCATTCGTTTTAAATACCATGTATGGCTCCATAACCAGAGAGCATCCTCCATCCCAGGCTTTCAACCTGGGACTTTAGATACTCCCAAATCCACTGGCAGGCATCCTACGTGTAGGCCCAGGTCTACACTCGATCTCAGTCAAAAGGCCAGAAGCAATTATAGTGATGTTATTATAGTAGGTGCACAAGTTTAAAAATCCCCTTGCTTATGGTGAGAGGTAAAAGATCTCCTTGGCTAGTTGAGGCCCCATCTAGCAGTTCTTAGAAATGTAATATGGACCTTCAGTTCTTAGGATGCTCTTAGATATGATGATGATGAACATTTTAGAAAATCCTAAGAATGATAGCTTCTAAGAGGCAGGATGGTACCTAGAGGGATCTGACATGGCAGGGTTGCAAGTTCCTTCTTCTTCCATATACTAAAAGGATGTGGAAAATTGTATTTATAGAATATTGTCACACAAAGAGACTGCAACTGAATAGGGTCCAGAGACAAAACCCTAGTGGAAATCCCATCACTTTGCCCGTTGCAGCAGCTGAGGGGAGAGGATGGTTGTTGCTCATCTTTGCTTGTGCTTTTCTTCACATTCCTGCCTGGTGATATTTGGAAGCCCGGCTACCTGAATGTATAAAGCAGGGACGCAAATGCATTCATTGGGAGCAAGCAAATGATCCTCCCAGAGGAGATTCAGTGCATCATACATACTATTTCACCTACTTCCCAGAGAGAGATCGCGCCTTTTTTTTCCTGGATGTTTCTTCTGGTTCTTTGTTTTCTCTTTTTTTACAACCTGTGATACTCATGTGTCAACAAGGCAGTCTAATCTTTATTTGTTGCTACTGGAAACAATATAAGCAACGGTAGGAATGAAACCACAACAAATGTCTTTTATGTACATTTATTCAATAAAATTCAACAAACAGATCATGAAAGGCGCCGTTCTGATTCTTGCACCACGTACCTAGCCTTAGGTTAGAAGATTTTAAGGTTGTAAGAAGCCCTAAGCTCCCTTCTAGAAACCTGAGCTTTGCAATATTATAGCCCATATTCTCCAACATGGGTCCCTAAAGTGGGGTGCCCAAGTCTATACAGGGAGCTAGAAAAACGGGTTGGATTTTCATTGATACCGTATCACAAATATTAAAATCTGGTTTAGTCAAACTCCATATATCAACTTACTGGAAAGAGGGGCCCACCCTGCTGCTTACTGAGAGGGGATTAAGCACAGTACCTCTAAAAATCATCTGCCAAGTCTGAAACTTTTCAACCAGAGCACCTTCCCACTGACTCCAGTGAGAAAAAAAAAAATCGGTCCTACAGGCAGGGTGTTATTTTTGTCTGGCTACACAAGAATTCACGTTCCTGTCTCCAGCAATGGGACCGAACAGTCCAATGCATTTCCATGATCTGAGCTGACATTGAAAGATTTTTTTATCACTTCTAGTTCTTATTTTTTTCATACAAAGCCCTTTGTAGTGCTGGAAGGTGATGTATTTTATGCAGCAATTTCAGCAAGCCTATTTAAAAAGGCCTGTCTTTCATTATAGCTCCACAGCTGTATAATACAAGAATGCTTCCTTCAGGTGGCAGAACAACTGTAAGCATAATGACATTATATTTGCCCTGATGTATGATAATTGCTCAGAACCATGAAGCAGCCAAGTTGGTGAAATCTTTGCAAACCTCAACTGCACCTGAGCCATCTTGCTGACTTCAGCTGGATTGTTGTGCTGATGTAAAGAAAGGCATTGTGTAGCCTTTATTTTGAGAAAAGAGACTAAAAAAACTAAGCGAAGCAACAGACTGAGAAAATGGACGGTCTTGTATCTTCCCAAAGGGCTCAGTAGTATCTCTCAATCAGTATTGTTGCAAGCTGAGAACCTTATAGCTGTACAAATCATGGAAGACATGAGGCTTGTTTCCTAAAGCATATTTTTAGAGTGGATGATATATGTTGCCACAACTCATTTCAAAGCAACACAGAATCCTGTTACAGTGCTGTGCATTCAATGGGAAACAAGGGTTGAGGATCCTCCTGTCTGTGTCATTTGGAAATACAGAGCAGTTAAAAAAAAAAAAAAGTCATCTAGCTTTTGCAAGATTTGCTGAATGTATTCAGTTTAATCCTAAAGTTTTATTATGCAGAAATCAAAGTTCTGGGGAAAAGCATCATCAGTAGAAAGGATATGCATAATTAGACTATGGAGGAGGGAATGTGTCCATTCATCATCATAAGGGATTGGCCAGGTTTGCTTGTAGTCCATTAGAAGGATGAGTGCTACTAACACAAATTGATTGTGTTTCATGATATTTTGAGTTTTTCTTAAAGACCCAGCAGCAGAAACTTAGAAACTGCATAAGAACCCCACCTTTCATTTAAAAGGGGAAAAAAAAGTTTCTAGGCTTTAAGGCTGTGGAGATCAGGCCTTTTTTTCTTTCACAGTAAGAAAGCGCCAGCATAGGACTAATGTGCTACTTAAATCCAATGTAAAACCTCAAAATAAGGATCAAGCAGGATATCGGATCAAGCAGGATTTCAGTGGCATTTTAAGCAAGATTTTATTGTTGTGACAGGGACCCTAATCATCTGCTCTACTATATGAGAGGCCACATAACCCTACCCTGTAAATCCTCCATCAAGCCTCTAATGCTGTGTTTGAGCTAGAGCTGATATTTTAGAAAGGCACCCTTGATTTAAACACTTCCGGTGAGTCAGAAGTCATCACATCCTTTGGTAAACTGCTTCTGGGATTAAAAGCCCATTTGCATGTTTCTAGCTTCATCTCTGAGCACGCCCTCCTCTGCGCATGAGAGAATGTCACCTTTGAAGCCACATTAAAGAAAATAGGGCTTCCATATCTAAGTGCAACACAATTTAATTTACTCATGGGCTATGCTGTTTATAACAGCATTTTCCAGGTACTCTGACTAAGCTTTGTGAATCACCCAAATGTAAATATTGATTTAGATATCCTGTTTGTTAATATTTTAAAGAGAAGCAAAAGCCAGGACACAGCTTCTTTGGCTTGGAAACAGGCGACATATATAACCCAGCTCAGAAAAACTGCAAACCCAGTATCTTCCATGATGGGTAGAGAAGTAAGGAAGGCTCTGGACTTGCAACCAATAATAACTGGCTGAGAGAAAAAGCTAATTTGAGGAGGGACTTACAAAGGAGACGGGATGCCTGGTGGTTTATGATAGTTTATCTATCAACTTTGGTTCATCTGAAGCCCCTGCTACGCATTAAACATTACATATATTAAGCAATTGACTAGTTAGTCGTGCAATACATTATACACCAGCCACACATGCCAAGTAAGAAGGGCCACACGTGCAAGGTAAGTGTCACACAATTATCTGGTTAAGCACGCTGTAAGTTTAGACAGGCCACACATGCAAAGTAACAAGTGACTGGTTAAGTGCATTATAAATGCAAACTGGCCACACACACAAGCATCATGCAACATAAACTGGTTAATCGTCAATACATTTAAATGGGCCACACGTGCAAAAAAAGACCAGCCACATGCACAAACTAGGACACAAGTAACTGGTTAAGCACGCAATACATTTAGGTGGGCCACACGTGGAAAGTAAGACTGGTCGTACGTGCAAAGTAAGCCTCACACAATTAACCAGTCAAGCACACAATAAATGTAGAGAGGCTACACCTGCAACGTAAGACCAGCCACACTGGCAAAATAAGTATCATACAATTAATTGGTCAATACATTTTGAAAGGCCACACGCTCCAAGTCTCAAGCCACTAACTGGTCAAGGCCACAAGAAATTTAGATCAGCACAGGGGCAAAGTAAGTATCGCTCCATTAACCGACTAAGTATACCAAACATTTGCACACGCCACACATGCAAAGGACAGGACAAGGAGCAATGGCCTCAAGTTGCAGCAAGGGAAGTTGAGGTTAGATATTAGGTGGAATTTTCTGACTGAGAGGGTAGTAAAACACTGGAACAGGCTGCCCAGAGAGGTGGTGGATGCAAGGCCCATCTAGACAAAGCCTTGTCTAGGATGACCTAGATGGGGATGATCCTGCTTTGAGCAGGGGTTGGACTAGACACAGTGCTGCCAACTCTCATGATTTTTGGCATTATTCTTAAAGTCAGTGCTTTGGGTATGCGAAAAACAGCTCTTTCTTATATATATATATATATATATATAATTTTTCTTATGTTTTCCAAGGCAACAAAAAACGTAGCTCTTTCTTGGATAGATCGAGCTATATACAGCAGTCCTTGACTTATAACGTTTGGACGTTCATAAATTGACACCCTGCTGCAACTTGCCGAGGTCAGTTTCGACTTTACAACGCCCACGCCACGCCAGCGAACAAGTTCGCTGCATCGCCCATCTCCCTGGAGAACATCTGCCCAAACTTCCTCGGACGCTTTATTTAAGAAAGCGGACAAGACTCCAGAAACACCTGCAGCCGAGACTCCTGAGAAGACTCCTGCCGACAGCCCTTCAAAAAGTCCAAGCAAGAGTCCTTCAAAAGGTCCAAAGTCACCTCAAAGAAGTCCTTCCAAATCAATATGACTGCTATTTACAATATAAATACATCAATGTAGCTATACTACTCATCTATAATTGATGGAGTACACAATTTTGGGTTATTTTTGGTGAAAATAGGGTACCGGGCTTGGCTCAGGAACCGACCCCCCATATATAACATTGTTTCCTAGGGGAAAATTGGTTCCGAGTGACGACGTTTCGCCCGAGGACGCGGCCGCCGGGAGCCAATCGCCCGACATTAAATCTAATTAAAGTTAAATCTCTTATTCCAGAAATTAAACCGCTTATTCCAGAGGCCTACGTGCGATTCGTAGCGATATAACGACGAAGGGCCGTTCGGCAAACGCTTCGCTGGAGGGTCAGCGTGACAACGATGCATAAACCGCCCCGCGCGGGGGTGCAGGGAGGAGGGACCCGACACCCGGCGCTTCTCCCGCCCCTGCACACCCGGAGGAGGAGGAGGAGACCTCGTGGCTGCTGGGACCGCGCCTCATCCTCCCCCCGGCCCAAGCCTCCCCGTCCTACCGTGCCCGCCGCCCGCTCAACGCAGCGCGAGGCTCCGAGGCGCCGACCAGGCCCGAGTTGCGCAAAGTCCGTACGGAGAGCTATGCCCGAACGCGAGATGCAGTGCGGGGCAGTGCGGGGGCTGCGCCAAGAGCGTAGGGGCAGCAGGGCAGCACGCTGGCTCGCTCGCTCGCTCCCCGCGGGTGCTTCGCAAGGAGCCGGGCGCTCCCTTCACAGATTTTAAGGAGCCTAAATCCCGCGCAATAATGAGCTGTCATGCCTGCATGGTGCCCCCGCTACACCTCATGTCTACTGTGCAATGTACAGGTGCATGGCACGACACGTTTAGACCGGGCGCCTGAACACTGCCACTGCAAAAAGGACTCTCCAGCTATACAATAAGAGTAATAGAGTTAGTGCTTGAGAACTCGTACCTATAACCATAGCAAACTATAAAGTTAGTGCTTGAGAACGATAACTAACTAAAACTATATAATGTTATAGTTTTGATTGTATAACGATATCATGTTATAGTTTTATTGGACCTGCACAGCCAATTAGGTGAATTCCTAACTTGATTTTGGGTTTGGGTTATTATGTGAGTGTATTTACCCTCCTGTTTACAAATCAATCAAACATGCACGTACTCTCTGGCACAATTCCTAGGGATAATCCCCTGAAAAGCATTCATTGCAACTTTGAAACTGCTAAGCTTCCCTAATATTGTATGGGCATCCATTCACTGTAACTAATGAATTTTATTAAACAACGGATATTTAGAAATGGACAATTTGCCATGGAAAAATAAAGCACTGGAAAATTTTCTGTTTTGGAATATTTTCTGCCCCACATCTCTGTTTACCACACCTGCAAGTCCCTTATAGCACACTCCAGTACAGACTTCCTTATCTTCTATGGGACCTGCTGTCCTTGTTTCTAGATCTGTCACTTTATATTTGGCTTTGCTAAAACTCGTGTTGCCTAAATGGGCCCACCCTACCAAGCAGTCCAGATTGTGTAACTGTCTTCATGCTTCAAACGTGATCATTTCAAAAGGCAATTTTGATCAGTCAGATAAATGATCTTGCCATGAATCTTTCTTGCTAACATCAGAGCACTTGAGCTTTACTTGTACAGCTATAGGGAGCAAAAGGATTTTAAGCCTGAATGGTCAGATATTCCTTAGAAGTGATATTTATGTTAGATTTTAAAATTCACAGTTTGTGCCACGTTGGGTAGTTATCCAACTCATCCAGTCAACTAACAGAAAGCACGTGAATGACTCTGGTTTATGTAATTACCCAATATGACACAAACTGCAAGTTGCAGATGAGCACAATAAACTGGGTATCATCTGTAGCTCAAGAAATATTCCTTGAAGAAATCAGTAAATACATTTTAGAACTTAAAGATCTGTTTGTAGAAAATTTGAGAGCAGGGGGGAAAACACATTTCTTTCTGCAACTTATTTGTTTCATTTGATTTATAGTTGCGCATGATGCTAAAGCTATGGTATGAGCAAGCAAGAGCTCTCTCAGTCGGCTGGAAGGATTGTTGTGACTGAGTTTTATCTGATGTTATATATAGGAATGTTATAACAATATAAATGTTAAAATGTGGCTGTGTTGTAATAAAAGAAAATCCACATAGTTATGGTGTGCATGAAGTTCTATCAAGAAAACAAAGCTCCTATATTCAGCTGTGCTTGAGAGGTCTGGTTTTAGATGGTTACAGAAGATGTCATGTTGTGTTATCCTACAGTAAGTCCTGCGCCGATGGCTTTGGTCAGGTACAAATGCAATCTGTGAAAGCCAGCAATCACTGTTCGTACGAACCAGACCACTGCAGTCTAGAGAGGGAAATATTTTTGTACCATTACTACTGCTTTAGCAATAGAGATCCCAGATCCAATTGTTGTAGATGAAAGTTAGTGGGTGTGAAATGGATAGTTACTGAGACTGAACATGAAAGCAACAGCATGATTTATTACAACAGAGAAAGGACTGCACTGTGAAATATCCAAATCCAGAGAGGAAACTCATTGATCATTCCTAGGAATTAAACCAGTTGTCTTAATCAATTCATTAGAACAAAGTGCCAAACCTTTAACTGAAATGAATGGCATTTTGTGGATTTACCATCGAAAGATCTAGCCCAAAGGCGTTTGCAGTGTTTGATTTCATCTGGTGAGATTTGAAGAACAGATGCTGCAGTGACTGAGGATGCTCCAGCCTCCAGAAGTAGTTAAGAATAGAGCAGATGGGGAAGGAATGAAGAGTGGAGAAAGAAGTAAGGTAGTAGCTGTAGAGAGGAATGGAAAGAGGGGTAGGAGGGAGAAGATGTAAGAAAGAGGAGAGAAGGAAAAGAAGAGAGATGAGTGAAAGTGAAGAGATCAAGGGGTGGAGGTAGAGAACTGATGGTGGGGATAGGAGCAGGAGGAATTTGAATTCATAGGCTCGCAATTCTGTGGCTTACACAAATTACTTATACATCACTGTCAAGTCTTACTATATCCTTAGACCCTTTTGATGGGTTCCTAGCTTCATAAATCAGTTAGAAGATATTTATTCTGTATGTAATTTACACCTTATTATTACCACCTCAATGCTTCTCTCATTAACAACCTCTCTGTCTCTCAGGCTAAAGTCTGTCGCCTAATCACTATGCTAATTCAGAAGCCATATAGATGGGACAAGCAAGAAGTTCTTAGGCATTCTAATTAGGAAGAGCTGAACTTTTCCTGGAAGGACAAGAATTGATAAAACATATGCAGGAGAATCCCTTTATCATATATAGTGTGAAGAGATTAAATTATTCTATATATTCCCTATAAACTTACTCACTGTTGCAAAGGTTCATTTTCATATTGGGGCTTATCTCTCTGTTAAATGGAAATCATCAGCTGTTATAAAATGAGTCTAATTTCTAGGACCCACTACAACTCTCATTGAAATTAGTGGAAAGACTCCCATTGATTTCAGTGGGCTTTCAACAGGCTTATTTGGCAGTCTTTTCAAGGACTGGAGAGATATTGTAACCAAACTACTTCCTTACTCCAGAGTCAGACTTGAAGTGGACTGACGGGCCAGCGGTAGGAAAGGTTGCATTGTCATTGCCTATGAACACGTTCTATAGATTGATCCAGAATGTCATTCTTTATGATTATGAGCTAGATACCATTCAGTCTCCCATCACTCTCAGTGCACTCCTCTGAGTAGGCTAAAATATATCTATCCAAGTATCCAGTCCATCTCTGAACTGTGCAGGTAGACCATGTCTGTGTGCTTGTAGCCCATACAGTACATTTCCTCACCTTTATTACATGCTGTCCTAACACCACATTGCTGGATACTCTATCAGCCTTGTGAAGGCAAGGGAAGTCTGGTAAGCCAGACTTTATTTCCCTGGGAGAGATTACCTGATGGTACATGTCTGGCATGATCCACAGCTGCCCACACCTGTCCTTTCTGTGGTGAGAGGGAGGCCCTGACACTTGTCCACCTCTAGTTCTGCAGGTGGTAGTCCCTCTTTCTGGCACCAGCCAACATGGCCATGCACTTGTCCAGGAAGAGGAAGCTCTACAAGAAGATCTATGTGACTCTAGGGCTCACTCATGATCCCATGCATAGTTCCTCTGGGTGGTGTCCCATGAGTCTACATACTCTTTCACAGAGAGTAGGTGCTGCCTAGAGTTTTCTTTTCAGTGTCCCAAACTTCATTTGAAACCCTGTACTCCTATTCTTGTTTTCTCATTTCTTGTTCCCCATGTTTAGGTGACTCCTGGCTCTGTGATCCTTCCCATTAGATGAGGCAGACATTCGTCTTAGTGGGATCTTCTCACCCTTCCAGGATTTTAAATAGGATATTGCTGTTCACGACCACCAAATTCATAGGTATGAA